CCGAGCATCTCCTACAACTTCCTGAGCAATGATACTGGCTGTAGCCAGTCAGCCACAAGTGAATCGGTGAGTATAGACTTCCCCTGATGAACATAGCAATCACAGACATATTACGGAGGTTGTGTTTCAGGTTCATAATCCTGCAAAGCTCCTCTACTGTAAACGTCACCATCTTGATGGATTTTTGTTATCACCTTTTGAAGAACCTGGAAGGAGGAAGAAAGGAGCGAAAAGCAGACGAGGAGGAGCTCTTGTGGTTGGAGTTACCCAACGTCCCTATTTGGATCATTTGAATTGGGGTTTTCGGAGTTTTCATGGAAAACACGGAGACGGTAATTGAAGTGGGGCTTGGGAATTTCCATGGAAAATAGGAACATAGTAATTGAAGTGGAGTTTCCTGAACAACCAAAAACTGGGTTTACCTAATACTCAGGACTTAACTTCTTTTTTATTGGGGTTTTGATGGTTTTCTTGCATTTATTCTTGTCTTTTCTATGGAAGACAGATTCTATTGTTTTGTTTTTTTAGAAGTGGGAGGTCTGAACTTTGAATGGAGTCTTCGGTCTGAAGCAAACACTTGACGTACGTCTGGTTTTCCCAAGTGGTTAACTGTAGTTGAATTTGATTCAATATGGGTGGTTCTCTTTGAAAATTTGAAGGGTGTAGAAGGGTAAAATAGTCTTTGTATTAATTCTGTCAAGCATAACAGAATATTATTCTAGCTAGCAGGTTTAAACCCTCTGAGGGGAGGTGTAATTATTTATCCGGGAGGTTTAAGTCTTTTATTCAATTTTTTAAAATAAATAGTTAAATACTTAAAAAAACTAGGTGTAAACACTCCCAACAAGTTGGCTACAGATATCTGCTGCTGGGCCCATTCAGGCCTAAATTAACCTAGACATGTAACCATGTAAAAGATTCCTTGATCATTCAGGCTTCCTAGCTGAACCACTTAGAGAGCAGTATTCATCAAGCTTCTCTAAAGATATAATTCTACACGTGGCAAACCACTTTAAAGCTCGACAGGAATCTGAGTTCCATTCCCATCCTCCATTTTAAACACTTTACCACGTGTGCAAAATAAGCCCACTTTTATAAGAAAATTTTATGTTAAGAATTGAATATTTTGTTCGAACTTGTAAGGAAAAAGCAACCAATACAAGGTGAGGCATATGGCTGATATTGAATGTGGGATTGAATTATGTGGGCAATCCAGTTGATCCACTGTCTAATGGACGCCCCCTAATGTTAATGGACAGAACTTTCCCACGTGGCAAAAATAGTTACACCTTTTCAACCAAGCCATATAGCAAAAAAACAGCTTTTTGGCTCTCAACCACTCTGACCATCGACTTATTCAACAATTGGGCAATCCTTTAACCCGTCGGGAACATTTTCTTTCAAATTTCGAGATCGCACCGAATGCGTGAATCTACAAATAAAAATTGAACATCTTACTTTAATAAATTTGGAGAAATACGGACAGGTTTAATGCAGATTTTTAATTTTCACTACAAAATTATAAACGGTCAAAAATCAAAAAACCATACTTTATACAACTATACCCACCTGTGAATTAGCATTTAATTGGCACCTACCCAAAATGTACTTTGAAACTGAACCATCATTCTCCCTAATAAATTCAGCCGGGATTTAATGGGGTTGTAGTGTTAACAGTGGTCGAATTAGTTAAATCGGATCAACCGGCCACTAAAAGATAAGGTAAAAAACAGGTAGAAGAAAAGTGATGAAATAGGAGGAAATAAAGTGAGACGACACCGGAGAAACTGAGAAAGTAAGGTGTGACAGCTTTTATCTATAAATGCACCACTGAATGTAAGGCAGACGAGAGATTGAGGAAACAAATTGGTATCAAAACGTAGATCAACAAGTGATCTAACAACTTAAATAGAAAAACTTCAAAACAAAGAACTAGATCTAAGGTTAAACTAATCAATAACCATTGATTGAAGAATAGATTGAAATAACAGAACGAACACAAATGACAGAGTGGTGAATTGGTTGTCCCCATTGCTTGAAATTGTGGGGAGGCCAACACGTGGGCGAGGCTGGATGTGGGCAGAACTGTGTTCGATGTTACTCAGATTGAAAGAAAGATTGGTGTTAACTAAACAAGCAGAGCTCAATTTGAGGCTATTCTTGGTATCAATAAGGGGTGGAGCAGCAAGGTCTAAGGTGTTGGAAATATTTCGGAGTTGAGACAGATTTCAATCTAGGTCTGCAAATTGCAGAGTATTTGCTCCGGGCTGTTTCACGCAAGAGAAGGCGTAACAGCTCCAGATGATGACAATGGAGACCGCCAACTTCCAAGACATCATGTACCACTTGGCGATCAAGTCCCGGCTGGCTTCGGATGTTGGATGCTTATGGGTGAGGGAGATCGAACATCCAGGTTAATTAAAGATGTGTTTTAAGTTTTTTTGTCCAGAGACGAACGATACCTTCAACTAACGGGTAAAGGACTATTAACGTTAAGCATTTTTTAATAAGCCTTCAATTAGCCGGTAAACAACTGTTAACGTTAAGCATTTTATAATACGCTGGCGTGGTCGCCTGTGATTGGTAGATTCACGCGTCCGTTGCACAGAACGCCACTCTCAAATTTCAAAGAAGGGCGACATTGCTCTTTAGGCACCCACTACAGAAGTCAGAAGGATAAATAAAGCAACTTATAAAGTAAAAGAAATAGTAAACTGCCTATTCATATAATCTCCCCCTTGATCAAATCAGATATCCCCTTAAAAGTAGATTTATATTAGGATAAATAGAAGTCAATTGATTCTGCCCCAAACCAAAGTATGGAGCTTTTGAATTCTTATGTAAAAGTTAAAGCAAGTCTGTTCTTTTTTTAAATTTAAAGGGTAAATTTTTTAAACTATCCTTATGGTTTAACTAATTGATTAAGTGTAAAATTGATTAATGCTATCCTTATTGTTTTTGACAATTGATCAATTCTACCCTTATCGTTAATATCCATAAATATTCCATCAAAATACATAAACATGTGATACTACATGATGTTTAAAATTTTTTTAAAATCCAATGCTACCCTTATCCCCTCCCTCTCGCTGGCACACCCTTCCTCCTTCGACCTCTCTCTCTCTCTCTTCCCTCTATCTTCCTCCCAGAGTCTCCATCAACACCAGATCACCTTTCTCCTCTGAACTCTCTCTCTTCCCTCTATCTTCCTCCCAGTCTCCATCAATATTAGATCACTGGAGAGAATGCACCATATCCACACTATATAAAAGAACTAAAACAAAAAAACAAAAAAAAAAGCAAAGCATTTGTCTCTAAATAGTCAATAACAAAAAATAGTAGACAACGAGCGAACTCCATCCTCTTTCTTCTTCAACAGTGGGGGTGCTCTGTTGAAGAAGCAAAGAATGAGTGAACTAAAGAGGGGCAGCAACAAACTGAAGTCCGATCTCTCTTTCTTCTTCCTCTAGACGACAACAACGGTGGTGGCAACCCCTCTGAACTCCCATCTCTTTCTCTCTCTCTTCTTCCACAACGGCAAGAGGATCTGAATTCCATTCTCTCCTCTTCCTCTGGGCAATGGCAACAACATTTGAACTCCAATCTCTTTCTCTTCTTCCTTTGGGCGACGGTGACATCTGAACTTCGATCTCTCTTCTTCCTCTAGGCGACGACAACAATATCTAAACTCCGATCTCCTCTTTTCTTCCTTTGGGCGACGAGGACAACATCTAAACTTCGATTTCCCTCTCTTCTTCCTGCATCTGAACTCCGAACTCTTATCTCTCTTCTTCCTCTAGCAACAACAACATTTGAACTCCGATCTCTCTCTTCTTCCTCTGGGCAAGCGACACGAAAGAGGTAGAGTAAAATTTACCCATTCTAATTCCACCAGCAACAAAAGCATCTAAACTCTGTAAGAATAGTTTAGACATTTTGCATTGTTTTTTTACAGAGGTTTACGATAAGAATAGAGTTAGTCAATTGTTAGAAAAATAAGGATAGTATTAGTCAATTTTCAAACAAGTTACACTTAATCAATTAACTAAGCCATAAGGGTAATTTAAGAAACTTAACCAAATTTAAATTGATATAGTAGAAATGGCAAAGATTTCAAAAGGCAACCTAATAAACTCAAGAACAATTAGACAAGTCTTTTTGAGAAGATCTTGTAACTCTAACAATCAATAAACGATTGAGCTTTTGACAAAAGATCTGAACAGCCCAAAGACCATTTGGCAAATACACATCTTTCCATGTATCACTTCGGTCTTTCCGCAAAAGATTAAAACCCAATAGACACAAGAAACTTCATTTAGAGCTTCCCAAAATTAGCCCAAAATAGGCTTCCCATATCTTTTTGGCACCGCATCTTTTGATGACGAAATCTTCTACATGCCAAAGAGGAATAAACCAATTTTCAGTCTTCCCAACAAAAGACCACGCATAAAGACGCACCAAACAAAGCCTCAATCTTTTATAGCGTTTTTTTCTTAAATCGTTCTCATTCCCTTGCACATCCAGATAAGATTTTTTTAGGTTTCAATAACATGTCACATGCCTATAGACCTGGGTCTCAGACAGTAAAATTGATTAAGACAGGAGTCACCCTCCAAACCCAATAAATTGCAGAGCAGACTCAATCAGAAAGAGGGCTTCACCAATTGCTCAATTACACGCAAATCCTTAATTATCCTAGCTCTTAAATCGTCCATCAAACCCCAAGTCTGGCTATCCTGAAGATGGCGACCAAGAAACAAACATGTTGTGGGGGCCAAAGAGGACTCCCACAAAGACCAAATATAGCTGTCAACAGATATCTATCGTACAAATGTTTGCCAATTTGTCGCACACAGGAGCTGACTTGTTCATAGGACTCTCTGTTTAACCAGTACACTGAACCCGTATCTGTTTGGAACTGGACAGAACTCAACAACCAGCCTCAGTGATGTATGGAAAGAGAACTCATTTCCTCACATAATTAACCTAAGCTCAAGAAATGAAACAACAATAGACCCTAGATAATAATAGACTTCTCTTTGTTAAGGAAATACAACAAGCTTCAACAGCTGCGCTGCATAATGTACATGGAATTACAGATACACTCAGACATGCTAGGAACACTCAACAAAGGAAAAAAAAAAAACAAAAAAGAAAAATGGGAAGAGAGTGTGAAAGAACAAGTAATAATTAGATGAATTCTCACTACAGCTCAGTGTTAATCAAACAGATACTGCTGCAAATGGAGGCTTCGCCTTAGGTGGTCTACCGCGTGGCCTTGGAGGTCCACTAGCCGCCGTTGCTGCTCCTGCAGGTCTAGCCTTCTTGGGAGGGCGCCCACGGGGCCTCCCTGTACCTGAAGACACCTTAGGCACTACTGGTGCGGAAGGGTCTTTGGGCTTGGGGGGGCGACCTCTCGGCCTTGGTGGTGCAACAACAGTTCCGGGCGGAAGAGGAATCTTCGGCTTGGGCGGACGGCCACGGCCTCGCTTCGGTGGGTCATTGGGGTTAGGCTTTATGTAGTTGTTCTTCACCATGATGAGCTCTCCACTTTCTTTCAACCTATTCAGGTGGTGGGACAGCAACTGTGAGTGCCCAGCCGGCAGATTTCCATACTGTGACTCGATGTACTTGGATATGGCGGACTTGCTCGAGCCATTCTTGTCGTCCAAAGCTGCGATCGCAGCAAATATCATCTGAAACAAGAAAAAATCAAACAAGCCCAGGTGAAATTAAGACCGATATTTTCCAACTCGACACCGAAATGTAAAGTGAAAGACGGAGAGAAGGAAAGAAGAAACAAAAATGTAGGTAGGTGGGTAGTTGGATTCTGGGAAAACTCATTTACCTCTGAGTACTGAGGAAGCGAGGGAGGCTTATTAACCTCTTCGGTCGCCATGAAAGTTACAGAGAAAACCCACTAAGCAGCTGCAATTACCAGAACAACAACGAAAGTAGAGAGAGACAGATGATGCCCGATAGGGATTACACAGAGAGAGAGAGAGAAAGAACAGTTGCTGGAAAAATGAGGAAAGGTTCGAGTGGATTTAAAAAGGTGGTCTAGGATCGCATCGAGTAAAAAAGATGGTGGGTTAAGCCGAAGATCGACGGATGAAAATGGCTTCCGGGGTTGGCATCGGAGGGCTGGAACTGAGAAATAGGAGGTTCACACAGATCGCTGGCGTGGACGGTGAAAACCATATTTTACTTTTACTGATAATTACCAAATTACCCTTAACATTGAGGTAAATACCGTCGTGTGTCCAAGAGGTTTGTCTTTTCAGGTTCAGCCGTTCCTTCAGGTAGGCCTTGGCAGTGTGTGCCGTTCTATCATTGATGGGACCCATTTTTTTCGTCTTGGGTCCCACTTAAAAGGACATCTGATCCCACGAAGCTCCGATCTACCACTCATTTGGATGACTCCCTAATCCAAGGTCAATCCAAATGACTAGATCCAATCAGGTGGATTTCTGACCACGGCCTCTTTGTTGGTGAACGTGGGAACCGGAATCCACGATGGTGGGTCCCACCTAAATCTGCGTGTGCCACCTCTGTCCCACCATGTCCTTTCAAACGAATTACGAACGTCCTCGTACTTCTTCATATGACCAAAATGCCCTCAACATAGAATTGATCATGGCTGTTCTCCGATCTCCAGACTCCAGTCCAGTGCCCGACAGGCCAGACTCCTAAGTCCTAACTCTGTCTCTGCATCCAAGATATTCGTACACGGTCATTATAGTTACTAGAACTCCAAGGGCATATTGGTCATTAAGGTTCTGTTTTCTTAATGCAATTTGGTGGAATGATTGGAGTTATCTTGTGAGGGAAATAGCGAATGAGGGAAGGTGCGACTTTTGTTTGGTTGGTGGGTTTTCAAAAGCTGGATTAGATATAGCCCGGACTGAAAGGGTGTAAGTTTGGCCGAGCCCGATCTGCAGTAAGGGCCAGCAGGGACAATCAGGCCCATCGGTTTCAACCAGTTAAGCAACTTAACCAATCAAAGAGCTATAACCCGATCAGCCTTTTAGGTAACCAGTTCACCATCCCCACCAATAACGGTTTGAGAATAATGATATGTTTGAAAGTAGACCAAATGTGCTCAGCCCCCGTCTCCCCGAAGCAAAAACTCGAGAGCATATGGCAGCCAAGAGCACATATGGAAAATCTCGATGGAGAGATATTCCCAACGTATGACCGCAGTAGACCTGTTCATGGGCAGCCCATTGGACTCAGCTTTGCAGTGCTTCGGGCTTGGGCTTTGGATCAAGCCCATTCAAATAGTGAAAAAAACTTAGAAACTAAGCCTGATTCTTGAATAGGTCTAGACTCGAGGGTTATACTTTCAGAGTGTTTGCAAAGTTTTACTTTCAATATATAAATTCTGTCTATGTTTGGTTACATGGGCGTTTATTGGAAAAATGCTGTCACATTAGAGCAACATAGACATTGGCATTTATTGTGCATGAAACTACTATTTGGTCTCAACGTTTATCAAATAAACACTAAATAACAATTGCTTACACATGTATTTTGGGAAAATTTGAAAAAGCCAGCATTATCAGCCATGCATTCCGAAAAAAAAAAAAAAACCATTTGGGGCAAATGAGCACTTAATCAAATTCATAAATGGAGACCGAATCACCTGCCAACAAAACACATTCCAACCCTCTACCAACAGCTTCTCACACCACACATCTCATACATGGTGGGTCCCTGCCTCAAGTTAAAATGTGTGGTGTGAGACGATGTTGGTAGAGGTTTGGAACGTGTTGTGTTGGCAAAAGATCCCAATTCTTCATAAATGTATAAAATTACAAATTTATAGTACTTTAAAAAGTACTAATAGCACTAATAATATTTTTGATATTTTTTGAGGACAAAATTTATCCCTCCATATTTAAATTTATTGATAAAAAAAGAAAGGCAAATAGGGTAATTGGTTATTAATATTAAATGACTTCAAAAGAGGTAATTTTAAGATATCCAATGCATTCACCTTCATTGAATCATATATTTAGGGCATTTTTGTTTCTTCTCATCATTAAATTCTATTAATGAAATCCATGTATGATAAATTAATAATTACAATAGCACAAAAACTTGTACTTTTAAAATATATATTGAAAAAAGTGTTTTCATCTAGGTGGTGGTAAGAAATTAACATTTTGGGTCAAATGAGACAATCCATGTTGTCTAAATTAAATAATAAAATTCAAAAATAGATAAAATGCAAAAAAATATATAGAAATTAAAAAAAATTGGAACATTTTTAACATCATATATTCAGCACATTAAACAAGAATAAGTATGATAAATAATAAATGATTTTATTAATAATGGAAATGGAATATAAATTTTAAAACTAATTGGAAATAAAACTATTTTCCTATTTTCACTCATTAAATCTCTTATCTAAGGTATATTTTCTCATTAAATCCTATATTTAAGATACATTCTTCTCATCATTAAATTATACTAATTAAATCCATAACATTAATTTTAATAGTATAAAAATAAATATTTTAAAACAGGAATTTAAAAACAAAATCATTTTCTTCCATCCCGATGCTGGGTAAGCAATTCTACCATATGGGGTCAATGGATTAATAAATAATGTTATAATTAAGTAATAAAATAAATTAAATATATAATACAAATAAAGTAAAAAGAATTAGCCACATCTCTAATATTATATATTCATTATACTAAAAAAAATAAGTATGAAATGTAAGATGTATTCTTATTAATGTTAAAAATGGAATGCCGAATTTAAAATCAACTTAGAAATGAAGTGATGCCATAGTCAAATAATAAATTTTTTAAAAATAAAAAATACAAAGAATCACAAAATTAAAAAAAAATAAAGAAACATTTGGGCACATATCTAATGTTATATATTTATAAAAAATAAAATATTGGATACATTATCTCTTATATTATGCATTCATTATATTGAACAAAAATAAGTATTATACATAAGAAATAATTTTATCAATGATGGAAATGTAATACAAAATTTAATGTTAATATAGAAATCAAACTATTTTTCTTTTTGGGTGGTGGGTAAGTGGTTTGGGTCAAAAGGATTAATCGATGATATGATAGCTAATAGTAAATCTTTAAAAAATAAAAAATAATTATAAGTAATAAAAAGAATATATAAAAAATTATATATTAATTATGTCAAACAAAAATTAAGTATGATAAGTAGAAATTGTTTATATAATGTAGATGAAATATATAACAACTTAAAACTAATCTGAAAGCAAAGCTATTTTCTTATTTAAATGGTGGGTCAATGATCCAACTTTTCAAAGAAACTCATAACGTCATAATTGAAATATAAATATTTAAAAAAAAAGATAAAACACAAAAAATAAAAAAGTGCAGAATTTTGTCGAAAACATTTGGAAATAATCTATGCCCTTGGTCACACTACTAATCCAATAAAGTGATTCAATCAGTCAATCTTGAACTTTTCAGTCTTAGCCTATCCGTGTTTAACTAAGCAGTGGACTATACGGAGAAATAAATTGGTATGCCTATTGAAAGATGAGATCAAGGACCATGGATGATACATCTGCAAAAATCAACCTCTTTCATAAATCAAACAATATCTGTACTCCAAATTTTGTCTTAAAAATATGTTTTTTTTTTTAAATAAAACCAACTTGTTCTTCTTCTCATAACCAAATATAGTTCAAGAACATGTCTTTGCTTTTTTTAATTTTTTGGCTGACATAAAAATAAAGGTACATAAAATATAAAAACTTCCCCTAAAATTTCCACATATAATGTTGTGCTCATTTACAACAAGCATTTAATTTTAGTTTTAATCATATTGTTACTTTTGTTATTTTTCAATTTCTATCTTCACTATGATGTATCTAAAATTCAAATAATTAATATGAAGAAAAAAATTCTCACATTGCATGCTTAATTACTAGTTATTTAAAGTAACAAAAACAGCCCTTACATATACATAGAAGATGAAGTTTGTAGAGGATTCTTCAGTCTTCTTCCTCGACTCATATCACCCATGCAAAATGCCTTCACACTAGGAAGACAAATCTGAACCGTGTGATTGCAGAAGAAGTGGTTCATTTCCCGGGGAAAAAGCAAGTCAAGTTCGGCGGCTTTCTACTCAAATTGGATTTGGTAGAAAGCCAAGTTTGGTGTCTACCACTTCTTTCCTTTAATTATTGGTTAACAACAAGCCTTCTATGCGACGTTTTAAAAAATGATTTGGAAATGGAATCGTTCTGACCACCGGTTTTTGGGTTAACGGTCCAACTGTCCGGTTCAAATGGACGGCCCATTCTGACAGCAAAATTAAAAATAATTAAAAAATAAAAAAAATAGTTAAAAACCGTTGAACGGGTTGATGGGTCAATGGTTTGACTGTCTGAGTCAATGATTTATTGACTTTTTCAACGATTTTTTACCAGATTCTAGGTTTTGTCGTAAAATGGAACCGGTTGCCTAAACGGTTCCCAGGCTGAATGGTCTGACTATCCGGGTCAACGGTGGTTCGAAAACGTTGCTTCTATACTTTTAAACCACAGCAGGGTCTTAGTCATGGTTGTGTGCTTTCACCATATCCCTTTAATTATAATGAATATTGATATTGTATCTCGTAAGGTTTTTGAAACCGGACAGGATAGAGAACCATTATAGGGATCGGTTCCTAGGTCAAACGGTCTGAACGGATAAACCATTCTGACAAAAGAATTAAAAACAAAAAAAAAAAGAGCAAAAACTATTGTCTGAATTCTGCTGACTAAATCAACAGTTTTTAATTAAAAAGCGATTTTAAAGTAAAAACGGAACTTGTCAGATGATTGATTCCTGACTTTTTCCGGTCCGGTGCAGTTTTGAAAACACTGGTATCTGGTATGTTTATGCAACAATTAAGATTATCACTATATTTTTGGTGTGGGAATAGACAGGCTAAATCACCTCTTTTTTGGTTGGGACAAGAAGTTAATTTTGATAAGTCATTTATTGTATTAAGCCACACCACT